CCCCACCAGGACAAAGAGGTTTCCTAAAGTAGCAAAAGTGTTGTCCAGAGAAATCATCCCATGGTTTGGTTATCATTCTGTTTTAAATTTGACAATGGGCTAGTCTTCATAACAGAAATAGTGCAAATGATAGCTAAAGTTTAGAATATCACCTGGAAACTGTATTTGACATGTAGTCTTCAAAGCTAGAGTGCATGAACACAGGGCCACAAGTGCAAGAATCAGTAAACTCTGTCAGGAAGCAAAGCTTAATTTGATATAGGCCTTGCCACTGGTCTTGTTCAAATAGGCCTCCATCAATCCTCTGCAAATTACCAGGGACTCCTAAAAGAACTGGGAGAGACTAAATTGAACACACAGTTAGAAGCTCTAGGAAGAGTAGCAAGGAAGATCTCCACTTCGGTAATTAACTGTCTTCTGTTTAGACCTTTTGTGTCTGTACATCCTTTCTTTCCAAGGGATCAAGGGGAATCAAGTCTAGGTCAAGGATCAGAACCTGGTCTCCCTCAAACCAAGGTAGAAGGGCCTCTACACCATCATCCTGACCACATTAATGGCAGTGAAAGAGGAAGGGATCCTCACCCGGATTCATCACAGCTGGCTGAAGAGAGATCACTGCCCTGTGGGAAGCAAAACTAACTTTTGAGACGGTCAACATGCCCTGCTTCAGAGAGCGAGGACATTTTGTTGCAGCCATGCAATGAAAGAAACCACATTTAGATCCTGAGCAGGATGCAGAATTTACAGGGTCATGGTTGTAGTTTTATGTAATGATTACTTCCTCATCAGAAGACTAGATCTTTGTAAACTATAGTCTCTGCTTGCTTTGCTTCTTGGTTCCTCAGGCAAAAGAGGTCCTCCTGAGCTTCCTGAAGTCACAGACAGCTACAGAGAATACCATCCTGGAGTCTGACAAAGCCCTCACTGCTGGAGAGAAGGCAGTAGCAGGTATGGAGGAAGGGCTCAACTCTCAGAGGGGTAGGTATGTTCTTATAATGCCCTTGGTCAACCAGACAGAAAGATTTTCCTGATACAAGGAACTTCTTCTCATGAGGGTACCATCCTCTGCCAAATCTGAAAAAGCAGGGGTAGATGGGGTTGAACATTCAGCCAAGTCAGTGCCTTTTCATCCCATTCTGTTTGTTGTTGTTGTTTTTAGGGACAGAGTCTCATTTTGTCACCCTGAGTAGAGTGGTGTGGCATCATTTTGTCACCCTGAGTAGAGTGGTGTGGCATCACAGCTCACGGCAACCTCCAGCTCTTGGGCTTTGGTGATTCTCTTACCTCAGCCTCCGGAGTAGCTGGGGCTACACAATGCCCAGCTATTTTTTTGTTGTTGTTGCTGCAGTTTGGCCGGGGCCAGGTTTGAACCTGCCACCCTCAGTATATATAGGGTCAGCGCCCTACTCACTAAGCCATAGACGCCACCCCTTTTCATCCCATTCTGATACACACTTTTCCTGACATGGCTCATTCAGATTCCCGATCCTCCACCTTCCGGCCTTTTTCAAAGTCAATTTGACATCTGATCTGAGGAGGGTAGAACCCAGGCCTAATTGTTATTTTCTTCCTTTTATAAAATGTTTGTAGAACAGCTGAGTGAGCCATGAAGGAGGCAGCTGAGAAGGATCAGGAGCTGCAAAGACACAGGAGGAGCTACAGAAAAAGATGAAGGCTTGAGAGAGAAGTTTTCAGGGAAATGTGGCCCAGCTGAAGCAGAAGATGCAGCTGGAAAGAGAAAACCTGCTCGCAGAGCAGGAAATGATGCTGGAGCACAAGATGAAAGTGAGTATGGACAGTACCCTGATTCCTAAGAAAGAGAAGGACCAAAATGTGAAGCATTCATGATCCCAGAGGAAAATGTAAAAGCTATGTGATTCTCTAAAACCTTAAATCCACTTGAACCCTACAGAAACCCTTGAATCTACAAGACACAAGCATCTTGGGTAGTATTAGAAGTGAAGAGCTAGTGTTCAAGTAAGAAATGACAAGCAGAGTGTGAGCCTCAGGCATATCTTCAGAACAGTCATATATGCTTCAGTAACCCTGCAATAATCCTGGGATAATCCTATCTCCAAGGAAAAGTGGAGGAGCCAATTCGTGGACTTTGACATCCTTCTGTTTCTGTTATCTGCCTGCCACCAAGGGAAAAAACAAACAAACAAACCAAGGAGCTGATGCATCAGTTTCTCGACCCAAACCTGTCAATTTACAACCCCTTTAAAAAGTCTCAACACAGCTGGTTTTTGAAGTCACCACATTCTTTCTTTATCCATCTCCATGCTGGTCCTTTTCCCACACAGAGAAAGGTAAATCAGCTTTCTTTTTTTTTCTCTGTCCTAGTCTTTGGAGAGATCTTTCTCAAATCCTCTGTACACCAGCCTATGCCTTGATCTTCCTAGTATCATGAAATTGAATTTCAAGTCATAATAAGGATATGGGAAAAAAAGATGATGGGATGAAGATTGAAGTAGGAGTCATAGCAGACCTCTCCGAGAAGATGCCATTTAGCCAAGACCTGAAGAACATGAAGGAACCAGCACTGTCAATAGGGTTCAGGGTAGGAAAGTTTTACCTGCAGAATATTGCTGGGGCAAAGACCTCTCAGGTATAAAGAACAAAGTTCAGTTTCATATTGCTCTACATCTGTTCTAGTGCTTGCTGACCTCTGATCATTTGGTCACTGACTAGAAAATTCCCCAACACTGAGGTATGAAATAAAAGTCCAAGGATCCGGTGAGAGACAGAGAAGGACTAGAGATCACTCTCCCTGAACTGAGGAAAGAAACAGGTAAGAACTCTTTAACTATTTCTCATCAAAGCAGCTTTTCCTCTAGCTCTGCTCAGGGCCTGTGCTCAGGCACAAGGCACCTATAAGGTTGGGAGGGGGATGAGAAGGGATGTATACAGGTCAGTTAGTTTTGTTAAAATTAACCAGAACAAAAAACAAAGAACAAAATAATTTTTTTCTTAACTATTGCAATTGTATGGATCATGATCTGCAAAGATAATAAAAATTTACAATTGTGTTTTTATAAATGAAAAATAAATAAAGTAAAATAAAAATAACCACAACCAATTACACCGCAGCTGAGCCTGAGGCGAGGTGGGACATAGGTCAGGTGAAATCCTGATGTCACCAGGCAGCATGTCCCTAAATGCCTGTACTGTGCTTATGTTGAATTAGGCACCGGCAGACAGGGGATAAACTAAGAGTTTGGAGTGGGCTGGGATTGCTTTTCCCTCTGCTGACCTTGTCTGTGTTGACCAGAGACACACATTTCCATTGTCTTTGATGGAGCTTGCTGGATCCTGCTCCAAAAGCAGCTAAGACATGGAAAAGGCTTCCACTGGGTTCTTTTCCCGAGAAGGAAAGTACAATGAATGAGGCGCAGGCTAAGGGGCCCATTGACAGACACTGATAAAGACAAAGCAGGAACAAACTGAAACCCAGAGTGGAAGGTGAATAGTCATGAGGGCACCACACTTTGTAATCTTACATTTGAACTTTGTTTCAGAGTACATTTCTTCCTTCAGAAATAATCCAGACTCACTAATTTAATGCTGGCTCTCTCTATCCCCCACACAAATAGTTTCTTTTTCAATACTTGACTGACGAGCTTCTTCTTGTAGTGATTTCTTGTAGTGAATCACTAAAGGCCACATCTTGTTTATCGTGCCCTTCCTCAGCCCTCAGAAAACTTTATTTAATGTGCCTTCTACAAACTCCTCCCCTGAATTCCTTGACAGGGCACTGGCCTTATTCATCCCCTCTGGCCTGACAGCTCTCCCTCTCTCCTTTCCAG